AAGGAGAGATAAGGATAACAGATGTTTGATGAGGAGGAAGAAGGAGGGATTTAAGGAAGACAGATGTTGGATAGGACAGAAGGAGAGATAAGGATAACAGATGTTTGATGAGGAGGAAGAAGGAGGGATTTAAGGAAGACAGATGTTGGATAGGACAGAAGGAGAGATAAGGATAACAGATGTTTGATGAGGAGGAAGAAGGAGGAGAGATAAGGACGATAGATGTTTGATAGGACAGAAGGAGAGATAAGGACGATAAATGTTGGATAGGAAAGAAGGAGGAGAGAGAAGGACGATAGACGTTTGATAGGAAAGAAGGAGGAGAGACAAGGACGGCAGATGTTTGAAAGGACAGAAGAAGGAGAGATTTAGGAAAGATAAATGTTTGATAGGTCAGAAGGAGCAAACCAGCCCAGAGCACCCGCCAGTGTACATATCATGTAATAGTTAGTGGTTGTCACGTTTCTGGTGGAATCGGACGCTAGTCAAGTGTTGGGTATGTGGAGTTATTGCTAGCATCTTAAAACCTGTTCACTTTTCTTGCTGTCTGTGAATAAAAGTCAAGATATTTGAGTTTGAAGAAGGTGGGTCGCCTGGTTTCAAAGGAAGAATTAGCGAGAAAATGGACACCAAAGTTTGGTTATTTCTATAGCTTGGTAGTCCTTGGAAACTGAAAACTTATATTTTTTGTGCCTTTAATCAACATTTTTCAGTAAAATCCACCCAGAAATGTGTTCTTAATAGGACAACAATAGTGTTAAGCCGATAAACTAGAATTCGTAAAAAAATTACCAAGCTGCCCCAAAAATGCCAGTTTCTTCAATTTGTGTATATTGACGAGCGCCTGATTTCACCACGATGCCTCTCAAATGTTGGACAATGTTTGTTCCAGCTGATGAGCACAGTCCTGTCCTCCATGTCAGGGGAGACGGTAGACGCGGGATCTTCGCCCCACTCCGCTCTTGTGTCCACCGCTAACCAGAGATCCTCGGTAAGTTTTCCTCGGGGTGGTTGGTGGGTGGTCTGGTCGGGGCTGCACCCTGTCACTTGTCCTCCCTCTCTGTGTCATCACTTTAGGCCCACTCTGTGTTCCTGAAGTGTGGGTGGTTGGCGGGTGCTCTGGTGTGGTTTGCTCCCTTTTTTCCTCTTATCTCTATCTCCCCTTTTCATTTTTTGTGTTTATTACTCTCTTGTAACATCTCTCATCTTCGGCACTTATATGACCTTATTGTGTTTGTTACTCTCTTGTAACATCTCTCATC